AACTTTATTCTGTATAGACAGGAAACCTCCAAGTTTTAGGTAAGGAAGCAGCATAATCAGATCTTTGCTTTAGAAAAGTAATCCAGTGGCAGGTAGGAGCTAGCAGGTGGGAGGCGGGCTTGCTGGGGGCACGGGGGCCAGGAGAGAGTCCCGACAGTAGTGCGGAGTGAGGTAACTGGAACTCGACCCAGGGCAGTGCTATAGGGATGGAATAGATGGCCTTCTGAGAGTCTTTTCACAGAAGACCCGAGTATGCTTGTTGATGGACATGAGAAGAGAAAGGAGTGAAATAGGGTTCTAGGCTGCATTACTGGATCAGTGGATATGAGAGAGCATAGAGGAGAGGTTTTAGGATGAAGACACTGTTTTTGACTTTAGTTATGGTGCCCTTAAGAGGCTGGTCAGGAGATTCTGCTAGAAAGCCCTAGTAGGCAGCTGGAAAGATGAGATTTGCACATGAGAGAGATGAAAACTTCCATGAAGGTGAGGGGGCCATGAGGAGGTAGGTGGTGGAAACTGGAAACAACAGATTTTCTAGGAGGAGGGCGAAGAATAGCATGAAGGGAGGGCTGCAGATTAAACTTTGGTGATTATTGCCATTCGATGGGAGGAAGAGGAGCAGGTGGAGATGGAGAGAAAATGGATGTAAAAGGAGAAGGAGAGAACTATGTCATGGAACCAAGAAGAAGAGAGTTTTAGGAAGGAGGCCAAGCCCTTCAGATGCCACACAAAAGGCCAATAGGGTGAGCAGTAAGAAGCCATTGGACTGAGCAGTTGGGAGACCTGGCCCCTCACCCCCCACCTTCAGGGGGCCTGACTTCCTGATGCCAGTCAAGTAGTGGTAAGGGGAGAAGTCAGATTGCTGAGAGCAGGAGCCCAGGTGCCAGGCAGGAGCCGGCCACCCACAGACTGCCTTTTCAAGATGTAGGTGCAACCCAGTGTGGCTGGAAGGCTCTGGCATACGGTTTGAAATGTGCAGTGCTTGTGTATCATAGATGATAGAATGCAACCTGCTTTGACCTGTCTGTATATTTAAAGCTTCGTAACTCTCCGTCCCTGCTTGCGTTCCTAGGAGTTTATTTCCTTGAGTTGTCGGAGGCCTTCTGGGCTCTCAGATCATTTTTCTTTCTGTTTTCCTTCCCGCCACCAGCCCCCTCCCAGCCCTGCCTCCGTCTCCCACTCTCTTTTTCCACCACCTCCTTACTCACACTCACACACACACCCCAGACAGACACACACACACACACACACACCACTTTGTTGTGCTCTTACATTGAAGGTGCCCAAACTCTTCATTTATGAGTTTCTGCTTGTGATGTTTTTAATTAGCTTTCTCCCAAGAAGACTAGAGAGCGTTGACTTTGGAAAGCTTGAAGAAGGTAAATGAACATTGTGGCTAAATGAGGAAGCGGGTGGATGTGCACACTCTGAGAAGGTGGCAGCTGCCCCAGAGGCCAGTCTGACCCTCCAGTGCCGTCACCTTCCACGCCTGTGAAGCAGGCTCCCAGCCAGCAGTGTGCATCAGCCCAGCACAGAGCATTTAGAAGGACCTCAGAGGGGTTAGGAAACCTATTTTCTTTTCTGACTATTACTGCCTGTGTGGCTGAGCCTCAGCGTCTCTTCACCTGTAAAATGGAGGTGGTGGTAACGGCCTATACACTTCCCAGGTTGCTGTAAAAATCAGGTTAGTTGATATGCTGAAGCACTTTGCAAATGTCAAGTGGTACTCACATCTGGTACCGTACAGTTATTCATAGGATTTCTTTCTCCTTTAGGGAGGTAATGAATGATAAAGTTTATCACATTTTTCGAATGTTTCTGTGCCCGGGCAATGCCATTGAGTAGAACCAGCTAGACTTTTGATTTATTTTTATTTTCTTTGTGGTAAGATATAACATAAAATGTACCCTTTTAGCCATTTTTAAGTGTGCAGTTCAGTGGCATTGAGTTCATTCACACTGCTGTGTAACCATCACCGCCATCCATCTCCAAAACTTTTTTTATCTTCCCAAACGAAAACTTTCTTCATTAAATACTAGCTCCCCATCCTCCACCACCCCAGACCCCAGCCCCAGCCCCGGGCAACCACCATTCTACTTTTTGTGTGTGGATCTGACTACTCTTGGTACTTCACAGAAGTGGAATCACACAGTGTTTGCCCTTTTGTGTCTGGCCTGCTTCACTCGGTGTAATGTTCTCAAGGTTCACCCATGCTGTAGCCTGGGTCAGAATTCATTCTCCTTTATGGCTGAATAACATTTTATGTTATGTCTGTCCCACATTTTGTTAATCCTTTCATCCACTGACGGATATGTGGGTTGTGTCCGCCTTTTGGCTGTGGTGAATAATGCTGATAGGAACATGAGTGCACAGATATGTTTGAGTCCCTGCTTTCGATTTCGTACGGTTATACCCAGAGGTGGAATCGCAGGCTGACTTTCGATCTGAGATGATGGGACTGTACACTTGGCTTCGTGACCCTGCTCAATAACTGTTGATGGGGGACCCTGGAGTCACAAGGGGTACCCTTGGCCAGCTCACGCCCGCCCTGTGCCCTTTCACAGATGTCTCACTGTCCAGCCCCCGGCCGCTTGGCTCATGAAGCCCTTTACGTATCTACGCCCCATTGTGCCCGCCCTGTGCCCTTTCACAGATGCCTCACTGTCCAGCCCCCGGCCGGCTCATGAAGCCCTTTACGTATCTACGCCCCATTGTCCTGCCGTCACCACGGGGTCACTGATAGCCCATCCCTCCTGATGTCTGGGACAAAGGCAGAGCAGCCCTTGATCCAGGAACTGCCTCACCTTGGCCTCAGCTTCCTGAAGCAGGCTGCCGGCACCGGTTCTGATGGCGACTCAAGTCCCCTCCCTATTCTGTCATGGTTAAGGAGCAAATTCATGCAGAGCCTTCACCTCCTACTCTGTTTTCCGGGGAAAGGGGGATCCAGAGAAGGAGGAATCACTTCCCCTTGTGGGCTCCTGATAGCCACATAACTTCCCTTCTAAGCAGGGGAGGCCCTGGCCCGTTACCATCCACTCAGATTCCGGAGAGGAAGGACTGGCGGGTGCAGGCTGGGGCCGGCCAACAGTTCCCCGCCACCGGCTGGCAGCTCGGTGGCTGCTGCTTAAGGACTTCTCCACCTTCTGGGAAATGGACACAGTCAACCCAGCAGACTCAGGAGACAGACCAGGGTAGTGCTGTCAGCGTCCAGGTCCTGTGCTTTCCCTGCCCATCTCTGTCATCGCCAACCCAGGTCGTGCTCCGCCTCCTGGCGGGCAGCACGACAGAGCTCAGAGCCCGTGGGTCGTCCACAGCTCCTTCCGTCTAAGGACCCACGCTCACTTGTGCCCGGGCCTGAGACAGGGGTGAGGGGGAGGGACAGCTCCTGGGTGGGGGACTTCCTGAAGTTGTTCCAAGTTGGTTTTCTTGAGCAAAAGCCATTGGCAGTGACCAAGTGTCCCCGGGAATGTCCGATTCCATATATCACTCTGCGATGAATCAGTTGTGGGTTTTCATGTGTTTATATTCATAACTGCCCTTCTGGCTGGTTCTATGTGAGGCACGTGGTACTGTGAGAGGAGAAACCTACCTGGCCGATGATTTGTGGGCTTGGGCAGAAGACCTTTGTTCTGACGTTTCCCACTTGGTTCTCTTATGGAAGGCCTGGTTTACATCATGACACGCAGGCCTCTCTCCTGGGAGTCCATGTTCCAGTAGGAGCCCCGTCTCAAACACTCAGTTAAATTGTACTAAGAAGAGTGAATTCCTCTCACTGGAAAAGATTTTAAAAATAGCTATTTGTCTTCGTTTGGTCTGTGTGAGATACATGTCCCTGTCAGATGGAGAAGTAGAGAAAGTGCATCTCTGGCTTAGGCATCTCCTGGATGCTGGCTGAAGGACAGAAGCCCCGAGGTACTGATATTGGGATGCCATCGGTCCTTTCAGTGGTGTCTTTGGTGCAGGAGGGGCTATCTGTCATCATAACAGTGCAGAAGCCATCTTTAGTGTCTCTCTGAGGAAATAAGAGTTGCTCCTGAAAGTCTAGGGGTGGAGAATGACTCAGTGGGTCGTGGTTTTCCTTGACCCACATGCACAGATCCAATTACCGAGTTCCAGGATGGACGACGAGGAGCCTGACTTTATTTCAGAGTCCCTGGGGGTTGTCCTGCCCCCAGCCCAAGTGTGGTACCCAGGCACTGCCTGCTGGCAAATACAGGAGGTCTCGGAGAGGGGACAAGGTGGCCCCTGAGGCCCTGGAGCTCACTGGCCACAGGGGACCTCTTTGGAGAAATGGGCTTTCTGGCCCTAAATATTCTGGTTGCACATTCAGTTTGTTGCTCTGTCCTCGCAGAGTTAAATTTATATTTTCTGGCCGGAAAGTGTCCTCTGCTTAGAGTGTGACGTGTTTTGTTTGTTTGGTTAGTTTAAAAAAGAAACAAGCTGCTTATTAAAGGCTTGCATACCCCTATCAATTAATTAACCCTGTGTCAATACCACGTGCTGCACCAACTCACATTTTAATTACATCCTTACCTATCTGTGAGAATTAATTAAATGTGTGTAAAGTGCTCTGAAATTTTCTCGGGATGAAAGGGCCTGTGAGGAATCTGCAGATTTTAGTGTGATTTCTTGTCTCCTTGGGGCGGGGATGGACATGATCTTTCTCTGCAGGAAGTTTGCCAGGAGCCTTCTTGTTTGCTCCCAAGTGACTGTGACAAAGTTGTTCTGCAGGGTGGCAGGTGGCCTGGGATGCGGCCAAACCATGTGCACATCCACCTGTCCCTTTGCAAGAGGGCACATTTGCATGTATGTACTTTTTTGCATAAAGAAGTTTGGTTGCGTGTGATGCTGGATAAAAATAAGTAACAGTAATGCTGGCCGTCATTCGCATCGTTACTACTGCTCAACCTTCGGCAGTGGGATTTAGAGGAGCTGTTGTGGAACCCCAAACTCCTGAGTCTAAACCGCTTCTTTTCCTCCCTCTTTCTTCACAGCGGGGCGTTTTCTGAAGTGGTCCTAGCGGAAGAGAAGGCGACCGGCAAGCTCTTTGCCGTCAAGTGCATTCCCAAGAAGGCGCTGAAGGGCAAGGAAAGCAGCATTGAGAACGAGATAGCCGTCCTGAGGAAGTAAGTGCGGGAGCCTGGCCTCCTCCCCCAACTGCTATGGGATTATCGGTCCGTAATCCGGGGGAGGGAGAAGGCCGAAGGCCGCCCCGTGACCGCAAGGCTGGCTGGCGGCAGGGAGCAGGGCGCTGGGTGAATGGGTATGACGCCCACGTAGTGCAGCGCGTTGAGAGCGCTTTTCGTCTGCGTGCCCTGTGTCTTGTGACATTTGTAGCTGTCATTTGAGGTAGTCGTTCTTTCCAGAGATCTCGGCAGTCAAGCTGACTTGATTTTGAACTGAGACCTGGACCCTCACTCCAGCTGGGCCAGTTACTGAGTTCTGAGCCTGCTCCGTAAACTGCAGTTAATAATCTCTCCCTATACATAGTCTCAGGATTAAGTGTGATGGCACTTGACACCTGCTACAGAGTGAGTAGCCCCGTAGCGTAGCTGCCACCGCCACGGCTACTAGTGTTGTTGTTGTTGCTTCGTTTTGTAATAAGGAGATGAACTCGGAGAATAAAGCCACTTGTCCAATGCCTTGCAGCTCATTTGTGACCTGGAAGGCCAGCCCCACCAGTGTTATCTCCACACTCTGCTGGGTCCCCCACTCTCTGCTGCACACAGCACCTGGCACCCAGCAAGCTCCACAGAGTCCTCTGTTGAAATGTTTCCCCTCTTCGTTGAGTTTCATTTATGTTACCCATGTGTAATAGAACAAACAGAAACCTCACCTCCATGAAAATGGCATACACAGAACCGTTCGGATGTGGCTGGACCCTCCCAAAACATGACCTCTCATTAATGCGGTGTCTGCCACGATCAAGCCATTCCTTCATGCCTCACAAGGTTTGGGGGAATAAATCCTTATTTGGTACCTGCTTTCGCTGTTTGGAGTGTATCTGAGCATTGTGCTATGAAATTTTTAAGAGCTTCTATTAATAAAAGATGTTAGAAATATCCTTGAAATTTTTGGGGTTTGGAACCAGCACAGAACAAGAATCCTGTCCAGATAAGCAAAACAGAATGGGAACAAGCCTTGTAGGGCCTCGAAACAAAATGTCACCCCCTACATTCTTCCTGTATAACCCACCCCTCCCACTTGTGTCTCGGGGACCAGCAGTGCCCGCTGAATGATGCTTTACTGCCACCAGTACAAAACCGGCTCACCGAGGTGGTCAGGAGAGACCGTCCTGTTCTGTAGCATATGAGATGTGTGTTCCAGAACAAATGGGTCTGGATAGCTCTTCAGCGTAAGGGTTTTGCTTATTCGTTTGGTTGTTTGGACGGTTTCTATGTTCCCTGGATTGGCTGTTAGGGACCCACAGAGTTTCAGCTCGTCCTGTGGAGGATCTCATGAAATGAGTCCATGGAAGAGAATTGGGGAAAACAAATTACTCCACTTTAGCATCGAGCAGGAAAACACTATGTTAATGAAACATTTACTTAAATTGCTCATTTTTCAATACGAAATCAGCACTTTGAGAAGAGGCTGTTCACTGGGCGTTTAGTTCTAGCCGCACTGCAGGTATTTGACATTGTAGCTGGAATTCTGGGTGGGCCCAGAGCAAAATTTCCAGAGGTCCTGCCTTGGGCACAGGGGCTGTCCACTGCTGAATTGAGAACGCTGCCTTTATTTTTATGTGACTCCCTCATGGGCTTAGGAGCCACAAAGCCAGGAAAGTCTGTTTTTCTTCTCCATGTTATTGTCCAGCTCCATGGGCAGGGGCCGCAGAGGTAGACTGCATACGCCACCTCGGTTTGCATCACAGTCATTCTGCTTTAATCGGTGTCTCCATTCCATGCTACTCCCAGGGAGAGGGCATCTCAAATAGGGAGGGCCAGGGACTGAGAATCACTCATTTGGATAGTTTCACACTGTCAGTTATTGGAATGCCATAAAGCATCGCCCTTCCTTCAGGAATAAAGAACAAAGAAATGATTTCTCGGGGTAAGAAGGTGATATATTTCCTGGACTGATTTTTTCTTTTTTCTTTCTTTTTTTTTTTTTGGTCCTTTGCAAACGACTTACAAGTGTAATAAGAGGCAATTCCACATCATAAGGAGCCCAAAGCAAAGTACCTGAGTAGTGAAGGAAATAGTTTTGGAACCACCATTAGCATGCTGTCACTGAAACATTTATTCATTTAACCAGTATTTATTAAATTCCTGTGCATCAGGCAACACTTCTGGGCACTGAGGTTTGAAAGATGAGCTACAATTCTCGCCCTCCAGGAACTCACAGTCCTTTGACTCAGTACATGATGGCGTAGAGGCTGTGAGAGAAGACAGAGTCGGGGCTGGAGGGCAGGGCCGCCCAGCTTTCCCTCTAGGGCAGGGAATGGGGAAGGGTGTTATGGAAGAGGTGGGTCCAGATGCTGAGAATATTTGGCTGGGGGCAGAAAGGCAGAGGGACATTGAACCAGAAGGAGCAGCCCGGCGGTGTGGTAAGGGGATGGGAGGTAGGCTGGGGTGCTGGAAACCCCAAGTAGCTCATCGGAGCTGGGGGGTGGGGGGCAGGGTTCAAGGTGAGGCACAGGAGACCTGCGGCTGGAGAGGTTATGGGGGATTGTATACCCCACTTTGGAACTTGAATGCCGTGCTGTAGACAGGGGGTCCTCAACCCCCAGGCCACGGACCGTTACCTGTTAGGAACCAGGCCGCACAGCAGGAGGTGAGCGGCAGGCAAGAAGCGAAGCTTCATCTGTGTGTGCAGCCGCTCCCCAGCACTAGCATCACCGCCTCAGCTCCGCCTCAGATCCTCAGGTGTAAGATTCTCACAGGAGCACCAGTCCCTGGTGCCAAAAAGGTTGGGGACCTCTGCCGTAGACAGTAGAGAGCCACTGAAGCGTTTGGTTGAGAGAGCAACATGATAAGAATTGTTTCACAAAGGTTATTGTGGTAGAATTTAGAAGGATAGATCGGAGGGGCTAAGCCTCAATACAGGTGGAGCAGTTGGGGGGGTCTTTGGGGAAGTCTAGGAAGCAACACATTAAAACAGGGGCTATGGGTTGTGTGAAAGAGACAGATATGAGCATGTGCACAAAATGGCATCTCTGGGACTTAGGGCCTCGGAAGGAGCGAGAAGAGGGTTGAGAGGAGATAGGATTCTAGGATAACTATGTGATTTCTGATCAGATAACTCGAGGATAGTAATCTCATTAACTGAGATAAAAATACAGGAGGGCAGGTCATGAGTTCTGATGCAGACGTGCTGAGTTTGAGGGTCCTCAGGATGGCCAGGCGGAGGTGACCAGTTGACTCTGGAGTTTGGGAACTCGGCTGTGATCTAGGCTTGCTCGATGTTAAAGTTTTCTCAAATACACATTAAAAAAATATCTTTTGGTACTTCCCATAACTAAATCATTGTAGATAGTGTCCCATAGAGACCTGATTTATTCCAAATTCTGCCATATACTCCTGTCATTTGTATATTTCCACACTATCACACTATTTTTCATCCAGATAGGCCCATCTGAGAGACTGCTTGCCGTCCTACGTGCTGAATTGATTGTAGGGTGAGAGATTTATGTATTTTGTCGCACTAAAGTAATGTCGCTAATATATCCTTGGGGGTGTCTTTATACTTGCTCTGAAAATAGCTCCAAAATGAATCTTCCATTTGTTAAGTAGATGCTGAACCAAGCTTGGAAGAAATAAAAAGTGGAGGGCGGGGGCGCCGTAGCAGAGAGCTGCTGGTCTGACCGTGGCGTTCGGGGGCAGGGTCTGTGTGACTCAGCACGAGCGGACCCCAGCAGCGTGGTCAGCTGCAGCCCCAGGAATGCAGTATTTTATGCATTAGGGGGGATCACATCATCAGCACTACATATCCTGGTTAAATTATAGAGCTCTTAGTTTCTGTGCTGTTATTTACGTAGAGGGCAGACACTACCCAAGTCCAATTTCGAGTCAACACAGAAAGCATTTTTGGAGAAGTAGTAAGGCAAATATATAAACGGTTCGCATTTACGTGAGGATCGAGAGAGCAGGAGATGTAGAAAGCTGGAAAATGGGAGACGAGAAGTAAAACAAACGAACCTGGAGTAGCTCTTTTCCTGGTGGTTGGGGAAATCGAGGCTGAGACTGGTTAAAGGGGCGCTGGCGCCGTCTGAGTGGAACGTGGCACTGGAATTCGACACGCCGTTCTGATGGTTTTTGTAGGCCGTGGAGGTTTTCCTGCCCAGGGAAGGGGGCCTGGGTAGGAATTGTTTTTAAATTGTGTGTTCTCCATCTGGGCACACCGGGGAGTCTGCCTTTTTCTCTTTAAGTCAGTAGTTTTCAGCCCTGGTTGCACGTTAAAATCACCTAGGGCGCTTTTCAGAACATCCTGAGGCCCAGGCCCCATCCTAGACCAATTGAGGTAGAATTGGAGGTGATGGCGGGCATCAGAAATTTTACCAAGCACCCGCTTCCCCAGTGATGCTAACACGCAGCCAGCTTGGCCTGAGAACAGCTGCTCCAGGGCCCACGCCTCCTGGCGTCACCCCCGGGGCGAAGCTGCTCTTCCTGTGTCTGGGAGTGTGGCAGGGCGTGTACACACACGGACACACCGGACATGTTCCCTTTAAGTGGGAGGCTCTGCTCAGAGGGGCTGAACTGCATTATCAGAGAGAGGAATTGACCCAAGCCACCATCCCATCAGTGGGGAGGAGGTACCCCCATTGGCTGGGTCCAAGCCTGAGAACTGGGCTCTTTGGGGTTGGTCAGGTCAGCACAACATGGCGCCAAGCACACCATCAGAAGTGGGTCAGGGCTGTTGACGGCAGCAGGCGCCAAAGCCCAGGGTTCCCTGCTGCCAAGGTCAGGCTGGGCAGCAGGGGTGTGGCGGGGCTGGACCGTCTGGAGGGGCAGCGAGTGAGTTGGCATGAAACCAGGCGCGAGCAGGACTCTGGAGGCCTGGGCCCTCCTTGCGGTAGCTGGATTCTCTGCGTCTCTTGGAGCAGACACGCTTCCCTCGGTGCAGACTAGTGGAGAGAAGGCTGCTTGAGTACCCGAAGGAGAGGACAGCTGGTTTTGTATTAAGT